CCAAAACCATAAGATACCTAGGAATAAATCTAACCAAAGAGACAAAGGATCTATACTCAGAAAACTATAAAATACTCATGAAAGAAATTGAGGAAGACACAGAGAAATGGAAAAACGTTCCATGCTCATGGATTGGAAGAACAAATATTGTGAAGATGTCAATGCTACTTAGAGCAATCTACACATTCAATGCAATCCCCATCAAAATACCATCCACTTTTTTCAAAGAAATGGAACAAATAATCCTAAAATTTGTATGGAACCAGAAAAGACCCCGAATAGCCAGAGGAATGTTGAAAAAGAAAAGCAAAGCTGCTGGCATCACAATTCCAGACGTCAAGCTGTATTACAAAGCTGTCATCATCAAGACAGTATGGTACTGGCACAAAAACAGACACACAGATCAATGGAACAGAATAGGGAGCCCAGAAATGGACCCTCAACTCTACGGTCAACTAATCTTCCACAAAGCAGGAAAGAATGTCCAATGGCAAAAAGACACTCTCTTCAACAAATGGTGTTGGGAAAATTGGACAGCCACATGCAGAAGAATGAAACTGGACCATTTCCTTACACCACACACAAAAATAGACTCCAAATGGTTGAAAGACCTCAATGTGAGACAGGAGTCCATCAAAATCCTAAAGGAGAACACAGGCAGCAACCTCTTCAACCTCAGCCACAGCAACTTCTTCCTAGAAACATCGCCAAAGGCAAGGGAAGCAAGGGCAAAAATGAACTATTGGGACTTCATCAAGATAAAAAGCTTTTGCACAGCAAAAGAAACAGTCAATAAAACCAAAAGACAACCGACAGAATGAGAGAAGATATTTGCAAATGACATATCAGATAAAGGGCTAGTATCCAAAATCTATAAAGAACTTATCAAACTCAACACCCAAAGAACAAATGACCCAATCAAGAAATGGGCAGAAGACATGAACAGACATTTTTCCGAAGAAGACATCCAAATGGCCCACAGACACATGAAAAAGTGCTCAACATCACTCAGCATCAGGGAAACCCAAATCAAAACCTCAATGAGATACCACCTCACACCAGTCAGAATGGCTAAAATTAACAAGTCAGGAAACGACAGATGTTGGCAGGGATGCGGAGAAAGGGGAACCCTCCTACACTGTTGGTAGGAATGCAAGCTGGTGCAGCCACTCTGGAAAACAGTATGGATGTTCCTCAGAAAGTTGCAAATAGAGCTACCATACAATCCAGCAAATGCAGTACTGGGTATTTACCCCAAAGATACAAATGTAGGGATCCAAAGGGGTACATGCACCCCAACGTTTATAGCAGCAATGTCCACAATAGCCAAACTGTGGAGAGAGCCATGATGTCCATCGACAGATGAATGGATAAAGAAGAAGTGGTATATATATACAATGGAATATTATGCAGCCATCAAAAGGAATGAGATCTTGCCATTTGCAATGACGTGGATGGAACTGGAGGGTATTATGCTGAGTGAAATAAGCCAATCAGAGAAAGACATGTATCATATGACCTCATTGATATGAGGAATTCTTAATCTCAGGAAACAAACTGAGGTTTGCTGGAGTGGTGGGGGTGGGAGGGATGGGGTGGCTGGGTGATAGACCTTGGGGAGGGTATGTGCTATGGTGAGCGCTGTGAATTGTGCAAGACTGTTGAATCTCAGATCTGTACCACTGAATCCAATAATGCAATATATGTTAAGAAAAAAAAAATAGAAGAAGAAGATAGTAGGAGGGAAAGAATGAAGGGGGTGGAAATTGGAGGGGGAGACGAACCATGAGAGACGATGGACTCTGAAAAACAAACTGAGAGTTTTACAGGGGAGGGGGGTGGGAGGATGGGTTAGCCTGGTGATGGGTATTAAAGAGGGCACATTCTGCATGGAGCACTGGGTGTTATGCACAAACAATGAATCATGGAACACTACATCAAAAAACTAATGATGTAATGTATGGTGATTAACATAACAATAAAAACCATTAGAAAAAAATAATAATTTGGCTAATTTTAATTCACAAATATGCAGGAAAAATATTCGAGATATGCAACATTTTATGTCTATGCATATTTCTAAATTGAAAAACATCTAAAGGAATTTAAATAAATTACATCTGGACTACGAAACATGCCAAATTTCAATCCAGTGCAAACTAAACTGGCTTACATATATACCATTTAAATCATATTTCTTAAAATAAAACATTTTGGTTGTGATTTCCCAACCCTGACGTTTTTTCTTGTTTCATTTCAATTGGTTAATGATAATGGAGGCATTGATGAAAGGATCATTGTCACAGCACCTTCTCTCTAATCTATATGCCTCCTGTAGCACTGAGGCCCAATTTCTCTTTCTTTCTTTCTTTCTTTCTTTCTTTCTTTCTTTCTTTCTTTCTTTCTTTCTTTCCTTTTTGTAATCACTGGGGCTACCTATCAGTTGGCTGACAATGCCTATTTTAAATAAGAAGGCAATATACTTTTCCCTTGGCTAAGTAATAATGTTACCCTATCTTTCTTCCATTTGTGTATGTAAATCATTTGTGTTATTTTACTATTTTTCTAGGAATCATCTGAAATTTTCCAATCTACCAAGCAGTCCTATGTGCCCTATACCAGATACATAGCAATATGCCTAGCTTCTCAGTCTTACCTTTGGGGCCTAAATGATGTGTATATATTTGCCTTATTTCTCTATTCTATACCTGCATTGCTTCAAAATATATTTAAGCTAAGAAAAAGAAAAGCATGATGAAGAGAAAGCAGATGAAGAACAATAAGAGAACGGGAGTTATAATAATATATTGATGATGACCAAGGATATATATAATATATAATAATATCATAATTAATATTATATAATGATGATGATAGTGTTGTATTAATACCTATTTTGGGGGGACTCTTGCTATGTATCAATCCCTGGCTGAGCCTTTACATTAGTGTCTCATTTAATACTTACAAAAGGGCTAATAGATCTATATTTCAGTATTCTCTACTTTATGGGTAGAAACTCAGATTTCAGAGAAGTTAAATATTTGAACTAATGTCACACCTCTAATAAGGTTGAGACTATGATTCAGACTTATCTTTGATTCCCAGAACCTAAACTCCAATCAAGCAAATATAGGCAAGCAATATTAGCAAGAAACAATACATTTTACATGAGAAAAGACCAAGTAAACAAAGATGAGCCTAATGTCAATTTGAATATGAAATGTAAACCATCCGGTGATACAGAGGAGGCACTATTTTGACTCTACACTTCCTTTTACTATCTAGTGAAGTTAAGAAGAGAAAAATTATTTCTTAAAAATCCATAGCATCCACAAGGTAAAAAACAAAACAAAAGCAAAGAAACAAAACAAAACAAAAAAGCCAAGCTACAGTTCAAGAGACAATAGGAATCATTAATAATAACAGAGGATGAATAGAGGCTAAATCATTTTCTGTAAAACTAGTGATACTTAGTTCTATATTTGGATCTGGATACATAAGGCAGAATTTTCAGGAACTGCAAGAAAAGGGAAATGGAAGACAAAATTTTTCTCAGGCTGGAAGGAAAGATAACCTTCATGTCAAAGTCTCATTTTTCACCTCTAGCAGCCTATCTCTACAATTACTTTATCAATTATAATTTCTCATTGCTTATCTTGTCTGTCTTCCAGGCAGAAGAGAAAGAAAGAATAAGGTTATTTCTTTTGTTCTTCCACTTCTCATCTCTTTGTTCTTCTTTTAGAACAGAGAGAAAGTTGAAACAACAGCTTCACTTCTCTGTAATCAAAGTAATAAATAAACTGTTGTGTTAGAAACCAAGTGGTCTCTTTATTACAAGAAAATAAACATATATTATAAGCACATAAAGGTCATGAAAATGACTGCTTTGATGATAATTATAAAAACAATAACATGATTTCTGTGGTTTATAAAATTCACACATCCAAAGTTGTATTCATCACTGTTGCCTTATCCCAATGGTTCAAGCCAGAAATGAAGACTGTCTTTCCCCTCTCCCTCTCCACGAACTCCCACATCCAGTCACTTCCTATTAATTTGATTTTATGTCTATGTCTTAAATCTGCCCATTCTCTCCTTCTTCATTCAAACACCTGTTTTGGCTACCATCATCTTTCATCTGAACTATGATAATACTTTCCTAACTAGTCCACTTGCCTTCAAATGTGCACCTCTCACCAATCCATCCCCATTCTTCAGCGAGAGGGAATGTGTCTGATGTGCATGTTGATCATGCCACTCCTGTACTTAAAACCTTTCAGTGGCTTTCCACTGAGCTTAAAATAAAGCCCAAATTCATGACCATGGTTGAGAGGGCTCTGCATCAGCTGGCCCCTGTCTACTTCTCTGGCCTCATCTTTTACAACACTCTCACTCTTGACTCCTACTACAGTCTTCCCTTGGGTCTTTGAATACAGGGAAACTTGTTCCAGGTAGTCTTCTGTCCCAAAAGAGATCAAGTCCCCCGGGTACACGCTCTTGTAGCCCTCAGGATATCATCTCTATTACCTTCACCACCATTGTAAAAAATTATTTCTGGAATTACTTGCTTGATTTCTGTTTCATCTCCTTACTAGAGTCATGAGAGCAACGAAAACCAGTATCTTATTTACTACCGTATCTTCAGAATTGAGCATATATATGGTACCTGGCATATAGCACACGCTCAAATGTTCACATAAATAAATGAATATAATAAATCAATCAAAAGTAAAATATGAGGTCACTATCAAGATGGCATACACAATAAACTGTTTTCTCTAGAAATAAGTTGATGGTGTGCCCTCTCCAGTACCATTTGCTAGTTATTTTGATAGCCAATAGCATGCTTTTATAAAGTGGTGACATATCCCGGATGACTGCTTTGTTCTGTGTTGGTCAACTGCTATGACACTAAGTCAAGGAAATTGGCCCATACATTGTTTAAACCCATACATATCTGCCTTCTAAATTTGTGTTGGATTTTTTTTTTCTCTCTCTAGAAGAGAAGAAATGAAACTGTCCTGAATTTTCAACCCTGGTTTTCAGTATTTGATATCCGAATACCATCTGATGATAAAGCTCACAGCTGATCCCTGAAGAATAAAGAAAAGTCTACAAATGTTAAAAATCAAAAGAAAGCACTGGGTGCCTGGGTGGCTCAGTTGGTTGAGCGACTGCCTTCAGCTCAGGTCGTGATCCTGGAGTCCCGGGATCGAGTCCTGCATTGGGCTCCCTGCTCAGCGGGGAGCCTGCTTCTCCCTCTGACCCTCCCCCCTCTCATGTGCTCTCTCATTCTCTCTCTCTCAAATAAATAAATAAAATCTTTAAAAAAAAATCAAAAGAAAGCACTTAGAATTTCATTATATTGAACCTAGAAAAGACCCTCTGCCAAAACCTCCTAGTCCAACCTCTCTGCTCTAGAGGGAATAAAAAGACTTAAGACAGGGAAAAAGCTTACCCAAGGGAATAGGGTGAGTTTAGTGGCCTGGGTGACATTAGAACACAAGTGTTCTCATTTAATGGCTCTCTGTCTCTCTGTCTCTCTGTCTCTCTCTCTCTCAGTCAGCACTATCCTGTAGCACTCTCTGTAATGCTGGAAATGTTCTCTGTGCTAGCTAAGATGGTACCACTATCCACATGTAGCTATTAAGCACTTGAAATGTGGCCAGTACAACCAAGGCAATGAATTTTTCACTTAATTTAATTTTAATTAATTTCAATTTAGGTAGACACATATGGCTTATAGATACTGTATTGGACAGCACAATTCAAAAATATGCCAGCTAGGTTAAGGAAAATAAAACCAGTGACATCAAATAATTTTCAGTAAGCTGGAAGAAAGATCTTGAATTACCTGATAGTAACCTTCCAGGACAAGAATAACATAGAAAACAGGAGGTAGAATATTCTTGGTTTCAGTTAAGAGAAAATAACAACAAAAAGAATTCAAATTAGAGTATATAATAAAGAAGATGTATGATTTCTTAAAGGTTGGGAGTTCACAGGTGGGGCTCACCTCCCAAACTCCATGGGTTTGATTCAGTGACTCCACTAAAGCCTTCAAGGACCTAGCTCATTTTCAACTCTCTCTTTGCCTTTCAAGCTGTCCATTCTAAGGCAGGTTCCCTACCATGGATCAAACATAGCTGCCAACAGCTGTCTGGGCTATGAGCTTCTTCATCCACATAATAGCAAAAGAAAGGAATGTTTTGAGTTCTGTTAGATGAGCAAGGAAGAGTCTTTCCTGGCTTCCCCAAGCAAGCCACTTCTTGTATCTCTTTAATTTAACTTGGGTCACTTGCTCCTTGTTACCAACTGAGCCAGTTACCTTGGCCAGGGGAAAAAGATCACACTGTTAGGCTTAGAGCCACACCACATAGCCCATGCCCAAATAGAGAAAGAAATCAGCTTCCCCCAGAAGAGATGCATGGAGTGAGGCAGGTGTGGTCCTTAAAGAAAAAGTAGGACAATAATGAGAAAAGGAATGAATATTGAAGACATAACTATAGCAACTATAGCGTTGACTAAAGCTAATAATATTTTCATTTGTATTTTTAGGACTGAAGTACTCTGATGGATTTTTTCTACATATAAAGTGTTAAACAACAAAATTCAACCAAGTAAATCTGAAGATCTAATTGGCTTTATTAAGTGATTCATGAATCTGGCAGCATCACATCTAACAAGTGGAAGGGAACTCCAAAGAGATGTCCAAAATGGAAGGTTTTATAAGAAGGAGGGTGAGGCAAAGAAGTTATTAGCAAAAGAAAAGGAAGGATTATTTCAGACAAAGTCATCTTCCCTTAGGGGAAGGGCAGGGCGTGTTTTTAGGTAGATTACCTCATCTTTCTATGGAGTGAGGATGGAGAAGACCCCTGTGGCAGATTACCTCATTGGTGCTGGCCAGAAAGTTCCTGACTCCCTTAAAACTACATTTTTGGGAAAGGTTGAAACCGCAATTAGATTAGGTATTAAGCCCTGGTATGGTGATTTGGCCTAGCATAAGTGACTCTATATAGGGTCTATGGTTTTGTTTTGTTTTTGTTTTGTTTTTGTTTTTAATGAATATAATATATTCTTTTTTTTTTTTTTTAAGATTTTATTTATTTATTTGAGAGAGAGAGAGAGAGAGCACGTGAGAGGGGGGAGCGTCAGAGGGAGAAGCAGACTCCCCGCCGAGCAGGGAGTCCGATGCAGGACTCAATCCTGGGACTCCAGGATCATGACCTGAGCCGAAGGCAGTCGCTTAACCAACTGAGCCACCCAGGCACCCTATATATTCATATTTTTAAAAGGTAGAAAACTCAAGATCTAAATAGAAAAATTTTGAAGTCATATATAATCTATCACACACAAGTTACCATTACTCACATTTAAGTGTACACGTACTTTTCCAAATATCCTTATTTGGTCTTGTTGCTTTTCTAAAAATTGTACTTTAATATATAATATGTTTTATGATTTGCTTTTTTTTCTTTGAAAATATCACATTTTCCAGTGTAACTATTCCTCTAAAGATGACCTTAATCTACATAACCAATCTAAAATACTTTCCTTTTTCTAAATATTTCACATCCCTTTGTTGCTTGTAAACTGTGGTTGATCTTACTATTATGCCAGTAAATTTCCTGCTATATAAGACAAAGAATTAACTGTAGGAATGTTTTTTGTTTTTTTTGTTTTTTTGTTTTTTCCTAGAGAATCTTACCTGTACCAATGCTTAACTACAACAGACAAACATAAAACCTCTTTGCCTGGTGTGGGCTTAAATCCCATTAAGTTTTCTTAACACCCTAAGTTTGCATATAATTTGTCTTCAAGTAAATTTCTTTACTGGTCTTTGTCTTAGTATCAATATGGCTGATTATCTCTTTTTTCTGATTTGCATTTTAATTATGGAGAAAAGATAATTTCCAGAAATAGAAAAAAAAAAAAAACAGAAAAATAGAAGTGTGTATGTGTGTGTATTTATAGATATACATATAAAAATAATCCATATCTCCTTGGGCCTCCCTCCTTTTACTTTTTTATTTTTTGACTTTGTCAGTAACACAGTATAATAGAAAAGCTAAGAAAACAGACTCTAGATTTCAGCCACACCATTTACTAACTGTTGGATCCTGTACAAATAAGTTCCCCTAAATTGCCTCATTGATACCTAATTCAAAAGATTATCATTAGGGTGTGTACCAGCGTGCCTGACATTCTAAATCTCTGTAAACTCTTAAAATTAACTTTGATTTATATGTATCACTAAGATTTAGCTCTAAATTTTTTAAAATATTTTATTTAGAGGGAGAGAGCATTAGCAGGAGTGGGGGGGGAGGGGCAAAGGAAGAGGGAGAGAGAGAATTTCAAGCAGACTCCACACCCAGTGCTGTGGGTGGAGCCTGACTCTGGGCTCAATCTCAGGACCCTGAGATCATGACCTGAGCTGAAATCAAAAGCTGGATGCTTAACCGACTGAGCCACCCAGGTGCCCCTAGCTCTAAATTTTAAGATGCTTCTCTATGCTTTTGTAGATTCAACATTTTCTGTGTGAAACATCCTGTTCCTCCTTCCATTTCTACCTACCTTTCCTCTTCCCCTTCCACCTTCTAAATCAACCCACTTTTAGATTCAGTTTTGGTACTTCATTCTCCATGGAGTATTTCTTGGCTTCCCAAGTCTAGACTGGACACTCCCCCTCTGCAATCCCATAAGAGTCAATGTCAACTGCATTTGCTCCAGCATCTACTGCTATGTGCAATATATGTCTATTCATTTGTCTCTCCACTAGACTATCTTTCATCTCTACATCTTCAAATAAAGCATGGTGCCTTTCTCTTCATCAAATATATTATGCCTTTCTTGGCTCCCAGCTTTTGCACATCTTGTTCCCTCTCTGTGGAACATTCTTACAACCTATTCTTTGTCCAAATGGCTCTTTTTAATCCCTCTGGACTTTCCCTGTCCTTATCATTTTCTGTTTGAAAATATGCAATAGTTTTCCAATGCACAGGATATAATGTCTGATTTTGTTTTGAAACCATAGGCTATAGGTCCAGCATAACCAATTTATACTCATATTTCCAACCTAAATATCATTCTAGTACTCCCTACCCACTCCTACACTCACCATACTCCAGTGCCTCTGATATTCTCTCAGTAATACATTCAGGTATTCATTCATCCAGCAAGTATCCATTCAATGAACAAGGCACAAAGAACAGAACTCAAGAACTGGTGAACATGATAATCATTACGCCATCTCGCACATGCCAAATACTTTCCAGATGCAGGGCCTTTGTATAGGCCATAAACTTCTGTTTTATTTATTACTGTTCACTCACCATCTGGCAATGTACCTGGCACATAGTAGGTGCTCAATCAATATTTATAGATTAGATGAGTAAATGAAAGTGTGAGTGAATGAATAAACATAGCCATTTCTCATTTATTCATGTTTTAGGTGTTCTATGAATTTGCAGCAATATTCTGAGCAAGCGGTTGGCAGTGGGCTGAGCAGGGAGGAGGCAGGGAAGAATTTCAGATGATGTGTCTGTGTGTGTATGGGTGTTTGTGTGGGAATCTGAGTCTGAGAATGCCTAAATGTGCATCACCAACCACATCCCAGTGCCAGAGAGAAAGGCTTTTTGCACTGCTTCTTGTTTTCTCTCATCCACCCTTTTGTCCCTTTCTCCTAACACACCATATTGACAGTAGGCCTTCCCCCCTCTTGGTTTCCACCCTCACATTCAGGATTTTTCATACTGTAATGGGGACCATGTGGTATCTCTGGGAGTCCCGGCTTACGGAGGAGAATCTAGCAATTACTAGTTTAGAGTAGAAGAGAAGAGAATTAGAAAAAGGAGTTGAAGGAAAAAAAAAAAAAAAAAGAAAAAGGAGTTGAAGGGAAACTTGGATGTGACTCTAGAGGGTAGAATGTATTTGAGCATGCCCTCACTTAGATGCCCCAAACTGGAGGTTCCAGTCTAGACTGTGAACTACAATAAACTGGGGAGTTTTAAAAACTCTAAATTTCCAGACCTCCACCCCAAATCAATCACACCAGGATTGCTGGAGCTGGGACCCAGGCAATAGTATTTTTCAAAGCTCCCTAAGTGGTTCCAATTTGTAGCCAACTTTGAAAATGACTGTACTAAAACAAAAACTTACTGCAGTAGACCTCTGGTCACTATAGCAACTCCAAAAATACCCATGATTTCTGTTAATTAGTTGCCAGCTACAAGGCATGTTCTCTGTGTTTAACCAGTTTAAGGTTAGTCCAATGCATCTTTATTGAATGCTTACTAAGTTCTTGATATGAGAATTATCATGTAAACCTCTAATTTATTAATTTGGGCTTTTTTCCCCTAGTTCTTATTTAACTATATAGATTATGTGAACTTCATGGTTGCCTCCCTTACATACATCACCCCTTCTTGATCTTCAATCAGTGAGACACAATCCCTTTGCTTGGGCTAACTGCTGGTTTGAGGAGTCTCTCCCATGGCTCAGGGCAGCCCCAGTCCCTGACCATGATCAGAGATGAGCACAAACGTCAATGTGTGCCAATGATATGTGAGGACAGGTTTGTAAAGACACTTCTCCATTCCTCTAAGACAGATTCAGGAAATGATTTTCTCTTTTTGTCCAGACCTGAACAATGAAGCCGGTCACTGACTCAAAGTCATTAACAGGCACTTGGAGATCCTAAAGGGGTGACAGCCTTAGCACAAGGCTGATACCATGAAAAGCTCAAGTGGTAAAAATGTCCTTCACTTTATCAAACCATCCTTAAAGTC